CCGCCCCACCCCTCTTTGTAGGGAAAATCCCTTGAAACCCTAAAAATCCCCTTTTGGGGGGTTTTGGTTATCCCAGGAATTTGCACGGGGATATTATCTAAGGTCCACTAATTAACTACGTCGTTTATCAGAAAAGACTCCAGCCTCATAAGGAAATTGTGTGTTATTGTTTCGGTTCATAATCTGTATCTATTCATAATTCGAAGACTTAGACAGGCCCCGTAGTCTCTCTTTAGTTTGGTCCTCGTGCCCACTTCCCCGCTCTCCATGTCTCCAAGTTATCCTTGTGTCGTGTATTTCTTTCAGTGGAGTATGTCCACCTCTCCAGTGTCGGTCTGCGTGGAATAGGGGGGTTTGTACGGTGTAGTAACGGTGTGGAACTCTGCTCCAGGTAGTGAGAAATGGGGGCTGTGGGTGGTGTTAATTTAAGTTGTGTGTTCAAACACTGCCCTGGTGACCACGAGTGTGTGTTAGTGACGGGTCAATCTCTCACACTAGACAAAAATTCCACACACACCACAACACACCACACAACACACACCCACACACACACACACACACACACACACCACCCTGCCTGAAACGCCTTCATTGGACTCCTTTGTTTACTTCCTGAACATATTGACATCACTATTTAAAGCTTCCATTGGCTTCCATTGTATAGCTAAGGGGCGGGACATCTCTAAGTTGTTGACCAATCACAACAGCATGGAGATATGTCCCAGTGGAGACACTAAATAGGGCATTTTTAACTCAAAGGTAGAACAACAACAATGAGTGATACAGAGCCCAACAAAAACTCTGATGAGAAGCATGTGTCCTCCATTTTTGTTTTGTTTAGATGAGCAGAGGAGAACAGCGCTCTGCAGGAACTCCAACAAATTCCTGACATTTAATTCTCCTCGCAGATCAGACCACAAACATCTCTTTATCCAACATGTCCTCTCTTTGGTCTGAGAGAAGGATTCAGAGCTTATCTGATAAAAGAAAGCAAGGCAGAACACGACTACTATATAAGAAGATGAAACCCTTCTCTGTGCCAAGTGAAAGGATCAAGAAGCAACTTGATTCAGGTTAACTAGAGAGACCTAATGAAGCTTATCCTTTTACTTTGAGCCTACATATCCCATTACCCCGCAGTAACTTAATTCAGGATTAAACAGTCCTGAGCGGAGTTGAAAGTGACCGTGTGTTTACACTGCTGGATCTCCTCCTGCCTGTAAATGTAATTATCCTCCCTATCTGTCATGCTTCTTACTTTCTCCTCTCTTCCTCTCTTTCAGGTCTGCTAACTGCTACTTTGACATCGAGTGGCGTGGGAAGAGGCTGACTCTGCGGGCTGCCAACGGGAAATACGTCGCCGCCAAGAAAAACGGGCAGCTAGCAGCGACCATCGATTCTGCCGGTCGGTGAGATTTGTTGATTCAGCCGTTCAGACAATGACTGATTTATTGATTCACTTTTCAGCAGTGTTATAATTAAAATCATGGCTGAATGTTCCCGTTAGTTCTGAGCTTCAAAGGCTTCAGCAGAATGTGGCTGTTTAGGGGAATCTTTCTCCTTCTTCTCCTGCCACGTTGCATGCTGTGTTTTCTTCTCAAGTGAATTATGTTGATTGGAAACATCGTGATGAACTCCTGAGTATACAGAGTCACTGAGGAGCTTGTACAATGATACAAAAACTGTGGAAAGTCACTTTTACTCAAGAACTGTACATAAGTACGAGTTTCCCTTACTTGGTACTTATTATTTCCATACCACGTAGGATAGCTTATATAACATACTATACCTCATTACAGCTCAAAGGCTAATATCCTACTTTTCCACAAGGAACAAAAAAGTACACAGATTTTGTTGCAGATCTAAATATTCTTCTTTCCTCTCCCATTACTCATTTAAGAACCATTTGACTTCACTTGACTTTATATATATTATTAAGAGCACCATCTTGAACAGCTTAAGTAGAGGATCAAGTTTGGAGGCATATAATGTCCCGTCAAAGGGCAAATTATAATTTTTTGCACTCTTTCGTGCACATTTTAAAGAACAATATATGTTTTAAGTAAGGGAGAATGTGCAGTGAGGCAGTCGATAATGAAAATAAACCGACCAACGTGGCGATCGGGATCCCGGCGGACTGTAGGTAGCTCACTTATTATTTATTACACGGCTACCTACTAAATAAATCAACGAGTTCACCCACAATATTGACTTCAAAAAGATTTTATTAATTAAAAAAATCATAGTATCGTTTCCGTACCACTGCGTAGCGTTAAATCCACAGTTTCCTGCTTACCACAAATATGAAAATAAATATTCAAAAAGTATTCCATTATTTTTTTTGATGGATAAAACTAATGTTTGTTGTTAGCAACGGTCTGTTCTCCTTAGCAACCATGTGCTAGTGAAATTTAACAACCTCTGGAATGTCCAAATTGACCAATCAGAATCAAGTATTCAACTCAGCTGTATTATAATGTATTTTCAAGGTGCTGGTCGATCTGTTGCATTTGGTCAACTGAATTCTTATAAAAACACCAGCAGACACAGAAGTTACTAACAGTTCCTGTGAAGACTTTGCACACAGTTGGTCGTTAGAGTATCTGCTGCCCTCGCTGCGTTACAGAAGCTTTGTGCCAGCAGCAGATCAGAAGATACTGCGTTATAAAAGCAGCTGATGGCCTCAGAGGATCAAAGCTTCACTTTGTGCTGCAGCTTCTGATGAGATACCACAGAGAGCTTTTTAGGGCATATTTGAAGCCAAGCTGCTTTGCATACATTTTTAATGACATGTATGAAGATTCAGCACTAAAGCTCAAACTGTGAGCTGCAGTGTGATGCATTAGTTAGGGATTTGAATGCATAGGTTTTGGTGATTTAAATATATGAGCCAAAGGGTTGTTAAACTGCAGTGGTGGAACGTTAATTTGAAGTTTAATTACTGTATTTAGGTAAACTGTTGAAGTACTTTACTTAAGTCATTTAATCTAATGCTTTTATATGCTTCTGCTCTCCTACTAAAGTCACTTTTAAGATTAAGAATACTAATAAAAGCATAAAACAATACATTAGGATGTATTATTAAACATTAAACTACCCATCAGTATATACATCTCCACCCTTACCAGCTGCAACGTTGGTGACATACACATTAATGCATCAACATGTATAATACAAAATTATAATGTATATTATTCTGAAATTATGTGTTTTGGTACTTTACGTATATTTGATGCTAGTACTTGTGTATTGCTATACTGCAGTGTTACTTTAACTTTAGTAAAAGATACTTAAAGTACGTATTCTGGGTAATCATATATGTTAAATGACTGGGTTGTGATTATTGATGCATTAAGGTGTTTATCCCAGGCTGGAGTGAATTCAACTGTTGTGGTTTTTACATACGTTTAACCCCCTGACTCTTGTGTCTCCAGGTGAGTCTGAGGAGTTTCTGATGAAGCTGATTAACCGCCCGATCATCGTTCTGCGCGGCGAGCACGGCTTCATCGGCTGCAGGAAGGTGACGGGAACGCTGGACTCAAACCGCTCCACCTATGATTACTTCACCCTGGAGTTCAGAGACGGAGCCTACAGCCTGCAAGGTCAGATTCAGGGTTTCAGCAGATAGACAACAGTGTAATTTGACAACTGTGGGATGTAAATGTGCACATGTGCTGCAGGATTGGAGGGTATTGTTTGTGGCGGAGCCTCCTGCAGGATTATAAGGGATTAAACCATAAGGGATTCTCATTATGGATTTAAATTTGTGACAAAAAGAGGGATTTGATTTGGATAATTTCCCTGCCTTCACATTATGTAATTCAAACGAAGCCATTTTTAAGCCCAACCTTTTGTTCCCTCCTCCATATTTTTCCCACCCTTTCCCCACATTTCTGGCAAATTGAGTGCTGCAAGAATGAGTCCTAAACTTGGAAAAGCTAGTATTTTAGCACTGACTCGAAGTCAATGATTTGTTCAGATGCCTTAAAAAAGGTCTATGGTTAACACGAGCTTAAGAGATTTTTAGGTTTTGTTCTAGGACATAAAATATGTCAGTAAATACTCCACTGGTGAACATCGGACGTTTCTGTGTCGTAAAATCCACAGTTGCTAACAAAACTAAATGAGACTAATAAATGTCATCACACTGAACATTAGCCACCTTTAGCTTAGCGTGGTGACGTGAAGTCATGTGACCATGCTGTTGTTACTCTATAGCCTAACGTTAGCTTTTTACTTCAGGCGATTGCATTTAAGCTTCAACTATTATAAAAGTGGTGTTCATATGTGGAGTATATCCTGCTGGATCAAATGTGTCAGTGTGTTTGCCACAGATCTTATATATTCCAAAATCCCAAGGAAAAATCCCATTGCTATTTCTTGAGGGAGCTCTTGCAATACCAGCTTCCAGGTTGGCCTACAAAAATCGTCATCATTGCAACTCACTGCAAACATGACTATCTATCTTCACCACCTTTTCTCAAACCCTTTTCCTCTGCTCCTGCAGACTCCACGGGTAAATACTGGATGGTGGGTAACGAGCAGTCGGTGGTGAGCAGCAGCGACACACCCGTCGACTTCCTCTTCGAGTTCTGCGACTACAACAAGCTGGCCATCCGCCACGTTGCTGACAGCAAGTATCTCCGCGGCGACCACGCCGGCGTCCTGAAGGCCAACGCCGACGACCTGGAGACCGCCACACTGTGGGAATACTGAGGGATCTGCTGCGATGCTGAGGAATGAATTGAAAGTGTGGCGGCGCAGCTCAAACCCCATCCATACATCTACCTACCAACCCCTCCTCGCTCCTTATAATATGATACTTATGACTTTATATGTTGATGAACTGCACAGAGAGAACAGGAAGGAGACACTCCTTTCTCTCCGTCCTCCCTTTCCTTCCCTTTTCCCAGCGCCAACCTTTATCTGTTGCCATATTTACCGTCGGGCCATGCACTTTTTTGTCCGATCTGATTCGCTGCTCAAACCTGTCACTCACTCCCTCCCTCCTCGCCTTACGATTGATGCCGTCCGTCCCTCCCTCCTTCCCTCCCCAGAACATCTGTTTCTACCTGATCTAATCTCCCAAAAACAGATCCACCAACCGGAGGAAATCTGCTTCCTGTTAGCTGGATTTAAAGATGGAGACGGTGAGTCTGTTTGTGGGAAAGCTTCTTGTAGAAACATAATTTTTTTTTGTCTGTTTGTTTTTCCAGGGCCTATGTGATATAACTGGAGTGGAGCTGATAATTAAAGATATCGAAGACGGGTTTAACCCCTTTATTCATCTCATCTGTAAAAAAAAAACTAAATGTAAACCAGTTTCCTGTGTTGTTATCTAGCTGTGTTCTCATTGGTCACCACGGGGGGATTTCCTGGACCAAACGGGATGTAGGAAGTTAAAACACTTACCCTTCCCCCCCCCTCTTCTTCACACACTAAACCCATTGTCCTGAAAACAATATAAATAAATTAAAAATAGCAAATGTTGCAGTCACATACTGTATGTTTATATGAGAGAAAAAACACTCCCTGATACACAGTTGGATTTCTTTTTCTACGTCCAAGGCACAGACATTATCATGGATACAGTAGGGAGCTATTGCAACTGGAGTGAAATGATTTATAAACCCTTTTTTGATGAAAGCTGCTTTTTGAATCCCTCGACCAAACCTACACCTCGGCCTTTATGTAGACCATCATCTCTTACACACACACGCAACTGGAACCTGGTGCTGCTCACTCCTGTTATAACTCGTGAAATATTAATAAAGTCGAGCATCTCTCACCAAAAGACGGTGATTTTCTTCTGCACCTGAAAGCCTTGCCATATATATCTGAAATCTGCTGCTTCTTTAGTTTTCTGTCTGAAGTAGAGATGTGACCAAATTGTTTTTTGTTTGGTTTTTTCTGTTCCTGACTCCTCGATGACGGTGAGGAAGGCATATGTTTAAAAAAATAAATAAAAAAAGAGAGAAAAGAAGCAGATTTTGAATAATTTGTCTGAACTGAATTGTCTGTTATGCACTCGTGTAGCACAATGCACCCATTGGTCTTTGATTCTCCACCCTTCTGCTTTCCACATAAACACAATAATGATTTCCGTAAAAAGACGTAAATTATTGTGCTATCTCCCCACATCATCCTCTTCCTCGTTAATCATCCCTCTGATGTGTAAATCAGAATGGAAAACCAATCATTGTACTCCCATGAAATAATACATGATTGTAGCTGGCTCCTCACCAACTCCGTCCAATTTTCTTGGAGTGTTTTTTGCATGAAGGGTTGAGAATCTCAAGCGAATAAAAAGGAGCGTTTGTCCTCGGAGAAAACGTACATCTCCGAGGTAACGGAGACCAAGGCTTAGACAAACGGATGTGGAAGGGTAAACATGTGGTAATGACTGTGCCTTACTCTTTTTTGGGCAGTAGGGAAGAAAAGAAATGAATCCACATCTTTGCTTTGTATAACTGGAACTTCTTTTTGTATTATTATTTTGTATAATTTTTTTGATATTGTGGATTAACCTCTCTTGTGCCATTGGTTCACCTGAAATCCAACGACCAATAAAACTGGGATTTGGAACGCTTCACGTCTCTTTTATTGCGTTTGTCCTTTTTTCTTCCCCTTATAAAACTATCAATAATCTGAAGCTGTCAGCTGAAATGAAAACTGTCACTATTTTATCAGCTGGATCTAACAAATCGATTAAGTATTAGCTTTTTGAATATAAAACTTGTGTCCAATTAGACTTGTAATGTTTTTATGTCATATTTCTAGATGTCCTAAATATTTGCATAATGTCTACGACTTTGCATTAAAAACGGAAGCTATAAAACTACATTTCTTGGGCTAATATAGCATCACCACTTTATTATCTGCAAAGAAACATTAAAATAAAGACAATGTTGCAGTGTAGGCTATTAGGTTAGTTAATATTATAGTTTAGTAAAAGTATTAGCTAGTATTACAGTTAGTAAGAAAATATTGACCGTTTACTGTTATTCCTTTGTAAGACAACCCTACTTAGCTTAACATTAACCTATACTTTGATGACGAGATATAGGTCAGATTTATGTTATTGTTCATTTCAAAACGTTTGTTCAGTTTGTAATGTTACAAGAGGTATAAATGAAGTATTAAATCATCCTTGTCGTTAGAAATAACTCCAAAAGTTACTTCTGTAAGCAGTACAGTAAGCTAGTTAGCCAAACATGCTAGCAAGCGGTAAGCTAGTTAGCCAAATAGCAGGCTAACTAGCTTACTGCTCGCTCACGTTGGAGCAGAGAAACACTGTTAAATTCATTCCTCGCACTTTCGTACTTTAATTATTTTTGTTTTATGCCTCCATTCAAAAATATTTAAACACATGGACATATTCAAAACTTAACAAACTAGACTAGCTTAAGGGTTGCTAATCTTTGTTAGCACAAACACTGTCAAATGAAAGGAAATGTATGCATCCTAGTTTTTCTTGAATACAACATGACAAATAGGTACATTTATTTTTAATTGTATTTCAAATAAAGCTCAGTTTAAAAGGGCTTGTTGGTAAATCTGAAGAGGTTAAATATTTCGTACTGAATTCTTTATGACGTTACACCAAAACACTGTGATAGATCATAGTTAAACCTGCGGCCCTTACTTCCCCGGCACATTTCTCAGTTAATCACAGTGCTTTACTCTTGGTCTCCTGCCAGTTTCTGACCGCAGCGGCTCCATGTGCTGTCCCACTTACACACACATCGCTTATATGGAAACACACATTTTCCCCCTGTCTCCTGAATGGAGCCTTTGTGTTGAAAAATGTATTCTGCTGCAGAGAAAGGGCACTACCCCCCCCCTCTAAAGATTCACACACATTAACACACATTCATGGAGGTAATGTAATGATGGAGCAGGTCTCTAATCCCAGAGGAACACCCAACATAGCAAAACAAACACACACCTCCCCTCTACCTAATCTCCCACATCTCCCCTTCCCATTTAATCTGTACCCCCCCTCCGTCTCTCTCTCTGTCTGCTTTAATCATCCTCCCATCAATCCCTCATACTTTTTCTCCTCCCCCTTTTCCCCCCGTCCTCCTTCTCTTGGAACAATTTTTGCTGAAAAAGATGAGTCACACAAACTATGACCCAGATCCCAGGAATGGGTGCAGTGGTTAGTGGGTACAAAGACGCCCCAGGAACAAATGAAGGGAAAATTGGGGGGGAGGTTAAGGGAGGAGAGACTGCAAAATGGCCGCTCTCTCCACACACATCTGAACCCTCCCTACACCTCAACCGTTGTTACCATGGAAACAGCAGCTGGTAGAAGCAGATGAATCAAAGAGGCGAGAGTGTGTGGCGTTGTCAGGGTCTTGAAATGTCACAAAAGAAAAAAGCTTAATTACATGCAAAATGTGGGCCGATGGAGGCCTATTTATGAGGCTTGTGTGTGGTTTGGGGTGGGTAGGGGTTGAGTAACGCTTAAGGGGGGGTTAAGATGAGGAGCCTTGGGGAGCAGGAGGAGGAGGAGGAGGGTGGATGTCAGCCTTTGATCAGAACAGCACAAGGCCATTTTCTGCTGAACTACTCACAATCTTTGCCCCCATATTCCTCCACCAACTGCAGAGGATGTGTGTGTGTGTGTGTGTGTGTGTGTGTGTGTGTGTGTGTGTGTGTGTGTGTGTGTGTGTGTGTGTGTCTTTCTGCAGGCTTTTCCTCCCTGTAATCAAATCTACATTCACTCGTGTTCCTCCATCTCTCACGTGGCCCGGCACTGAGTCAGTGGGTCAACGGGTCAGTCACTAATCTCTTTAGAGGAAGAGAAGGAGCAACACGGGTCTCTGCAGGATGAATAGCAGGTTGATTCAATATGACAGATTAAACAGACACAGAGGGCACTTTTAGCGTGCTTTCACATCTATTGTGTCACATTTTAACAAATGTCTTGACTTTCAAAATAAAGTGCACGTAGTCAATGCATTCCCCTCCTGGCAGCATTTAGAAACAGCCAAATGCAAACGTAAGCTTGCAAACATGCTAACAATGACAATTTGGGTGCCAGACCAGCCTTAGGCAAGTGATCCGGTTTTAAGTGCTGCTCCAGATGTTAGATTTTATTATTCCCCAGATGTAATGATTTCCTTTCAATCAGAGCAGTGGAGCTAATGGTGATAAAGACTTTATTTTAAAACCTTTGTGAAGGTTTTTATAGGTACAAAAACCATCCGAGTGAAAGCCTGGGGTCGATGCTAAAAAATGATCTATTTCTGATGTGAAAATGTCCAGGAAAATGTCCAAGAAATGTTGAAATACTAAGGTGGAAATCTTCATGTTGAGCACGGTGTAAAGCAAGGCCAAGAAATGACTAACAATGTAAGTGTTTATTTAAGCCAAACCTCTCCTCTTTTTCCCCTCCCCTTATTTTATTTCTACATTATGTGTAAATATGTCTTATATTTGTTGTAGATACTTTTTGTTTTGTAATACTTTTGGTATCCACTGTGATAAATCATAATAGAAATAATATGTAAGAGAATATTAGTGTTTAACTATCAGCAGGTATTAAAAGTCCTACAAACTGTATGAGCATCTGTGCTGGAGGCGCAGCTGTAAAAGCACACATTCATTAAAAAAATACACACACTCATTAAAGATACACACAAACAATAACAGACGCAAACAGTGCCAGCGGAGACCGTCTGGGGAGCGAATGCTGCCAGACACCAGCGGTCCTTATGGACCAGGCAGCAGAGGGCTTTAACACACACACACACGCACGCACGCACGCACGCACACACACACACACACACACGCACACGCACACACACACACATACACACACCATGTGTGACTCGGGGTGTGATTGTCTCGGTCACCAGATATGATGATAAAAATGTGTGTGTTTGTTTATATACAGTCTATGGTTTGGACACAGTGTATGTTACAGTCAAAGAAGCGGGAAGTTAAACCAGAGGTGTTGTTTGTCTCTCAGGTGACCAAAGAGAGCTGCAGGTCATGTCTGGTGCATATTTCCAGGTCTACATTTACAATGTGTCTCATAAAAACCCATTGTGGGCATCAGGTCCACACCAGCTATTCACTTAAAGGGCATGAGCATTTATTTTTTAGCTGTTTCAATTGGGAACAGTGTTATTTTACTGATTTACACTATTCATGTCTTGATAAGGCAGTTGAAGTTCAATGCAGATAAGCTACCTTTCACGCACAATGAGTTAAGGGAGCTTAACAAACATTAGAAAAACTTAGGTGTGTGATTTGGTTAAAGGTGGGGTAGGTAAGTTTAAGAAACCGGCTTGAGATACACTTTTTGTTATATTCCATGGAATGCTCTTAACATCCCGATAGCAATGAATATCTTAAGTGCTTTGACAAAAAATGCATAAAAAAATTTCATCTGTGGAAGCCGTAGTTCTGTAAAAAGCACGACCAATCATTTTAGCCGGCCCGGCTAAAATAACTGGATGGCCTACCTGCCTGTCAGCCTTCCATCTGTGCACAAACTTATCTCGTGCACTGATTGGTCATGTGCGCGTTCGTGTGTGTTGGAGGAGGGGCTCTGTAAGGAAGTGGCAGATTTTTTCCGGTTGTGTATTTTCAAATTCTGGCGCACTCGAGCCGGTTTCTCAAATGTACCTACCCCACCTTTAACATACTCAATCATACAATATAAGTAATAGCATTTTTTATATGTAAATATATACAGGGTTCCCCAATTGAAGGGAATGTCTGCAACTTCAAACAATTCAACTTACTTCACCACATTGATCAAAAACATATGAACCTAATTTAACCATTAGGTAGTCCAGCTAATTCATACTGCTAACAACAAAAACAACAGAGATATTAAATATATGGTTACCTTGGTTTAAACAGTAGCCTATGCTTGCATTTCATCATGTTACCCAGCATGCAAAAAATAAAGAGTTCAAATATTAATATACAGCCTAGCAGTTCTGAGATCTTTTTAAGCTAAATGCTAGCGTTAGCATGCTAACAAGCTACAATGCTGGCATATTGATTAGTTTAGCTTTTTAGCATGTTTGCTAATTAGCACGAAACACAAAGTAGCTACAACTCATGAAGCTGATGAGAATCTAATTCATGTATCAAACTTTAAAGTTATACTAATGGCTGAATACCTTTTTTTCCAATAAATATTTGTACCAAATTGAATAACAAACATGTGAACCTCCTCATGTCAGATAAGATGTTTTAAAATCCTAAAAAGCAATGTAACATTTTTCAACTTCCTCTAGCAAGTTTATAAAACGTCAGTCAATCTCCATTTTACTGCATAGCCTACAATTAATATGTATTTTTTGGGAGTGAGTGGGTAGGCTACTCTATTTTGATGAGTGATGGCATTGCATTGTCAGAAGTCTCCTTTATTTAGACTAATCGCATCGGTTAAGCTTGTCCTTTTGTTCTTTGAATTAAATGAGTCATTAGCAGATAATACTCTGTAATGCTCTCCGCCTGTAATCCATGACCCGCTCGTCTGGAGCGCTCCGGGGTGGGTTCAAGGATTTAGGGCTGGAAAAGGATAAAACACTTATTTTATGATTTTTGAGAAAGGCGTAA